ATGAAAATAGTGCCTGTTTCATGTTAAGAAGTTTGACTGCGTTGTCATGTTTGACAGTAAATAAGTGCGACTGTTCCCACTGCCTTGGTTCCCGAGGTATTTACTTCTATTTTCCCATAGAGAGTTTTAAAAAGTTATAAGCATAAACCAAACAAACCAGCTACGAGGTGAATCACAACACTACAAACTTTAATTTAAAGCAAAAACATATTTGTAAATTGTACAAGACTCTGTACTAATGTCAGTGAGGGAAACAATCCCATGAAGTATTGGGAAACAATTGAGCTTTTTATTCATTTAAAGGGATAGTTCACCCAAAAATAAAAATTCTGTCATTACTCACCCTCATGTTGTTCCAGATGCGTAAGACCTTCATTCATCTTCAGAACACAAATTAAAATATTTTTGATGAAATCCGAGCGCTTTCTGACCCTCCCATAGACAGCAATGAAACTGAAACATTCCCAGGCACAGAAAGGTAGTAAGAACATTGTTAAAAAAGTACACGTGACATCAGTGGTTCAATTTTAATATTATGAAGCTACGAGAATACTTTTTGTGCGCAAAGAAAACAAAAAGAACAACTTTATTCAACAATTATCTTCTTCTGCGTCAGCATCCACCCCCATTCATGAGAGTACCATGACACAACAGGGTCAGAAAGCTCTCGGATTTCATCAAAAATATCTTCATTTGTGTTCCGAAGATGAATGAAGGTCTTACGGGTTTGGAACGACATGAGGGTGAGATGACAGAATTTCCTGGATACTCTCCAAAATGGCGCCAGGGTGAAGCGGAGGAGACAAATTGTTGAATAAAGTCGTTGTTTTTATTTTCTTTGCGCACAAAAAGTATGCTCACAGCTTCGTAAAATTACGGTTGAACCACTGATGTCACATGGAGTTTTGTGGATTATTTTACCAATGTACTTACTATGTTTCTGGACCTTGATCATGGTAATTAAATTGCTGTCTATGGGAGGAATACTTTTTGTGCGCAAAGAAAACAAAAAGAACAACTTTATTCAACAATTATCTTCTTCTGCGTCAGCATCCACCCCCATTCATGAGAGTACCATGACACAACAGGGTCAGAAAGCTCTCGGATTTCATCAGAAATATCTTCATTTGTGTTCCGAAGATGAATGAAGGTCTTACGGGTTTGGAACGACATGAGGGTGAGATGACAGAATTTCCATTTTTGGGTGAACTATCCCTTTAAAGATGTTGATTATAGTTTATACACACAAACAATATATTTTATGTTTATTACAAAATATAGTTTGAGAGAGTATATGAGAGACTTAAGGGGTTGTTTTGGCATGATTTCTTTGTCGTGGAGATTTCTTTGCAGAATGATGGGTAATGTGGTTTTCATCAGGAATTTTAATGTCAAACATGATATAAAAAAAAGTTTAAATCAAGCGGGCTGATGGCTTCAATGTGAGCATGTACCACTGATTAACAACCACGTAGTTAAGTCTGTCTTTAAAGTTTAAATTTTTTTTTAAACTTATGAACCTTATGAAGTTCCTATTCCCTTATGAACAAAATAAATGGGATTTTTACTTCTGGAACCTGACTGTTGCACTCAGTAAGGCTATATAGCAGTGGGGAAGTCGTGGCCTAGAATGATGGGTAATGTGGTTTTCATCAGGAATTTTAATGTCAAACATGATATAAAAAAAAGTTTAAATCAAGCGGGCTGATGGCTTCAATGTGAGCATGTACCACTGATTAACAAACACGTAGTTAAGTCTGTCTTTAAAGTTTAAATTTTTTTTTAAACTTATGAACCTTATGAAGTTCCTATTCCCTTATGAACAAAATAAATGGGATTTTTACTTCTGGAACCTGACTGTTGCACTCAATAAGGCTATATAGCAGTGTTTACTAGATTTTTCATTAATTACTCACCCTCATGTCATTCCAAACCTGTAAGACCTCCATTCATCTTCGGAACACAAATTAAGATATTTTTGATGGAATCGGAGAGCTCTCTGACCCTGCATAGACAGCAAGGGTCCTAACATGATCAAGGTCCAGAATCATAGCAAGGACATCAGTAAAATAATCCATGTGACATCAGGGGTTCAACCGTAATTTTACGAAGCTATGAGAATACTTTTTGTGCGCAAAGAAAAAAAAACGACTTTATTCAACAATTCGTCTTCTCCGCGTCACCCTATAGCGCCAGTTTGGAGAGTATCACATAAGTAAACAACATATGCTGTTCGGTGTCAGCTGCGCCACGCGGATACGTTGTTTTCGTTGAGATCAAAGCGTAAACAACGTAGAAAACATATCCGCATGACGCAGCTGACACAGAATAGCATACACTGTTTATGTTCAGTGGATACTCTCCAAAATGGCGCCAGGGTGAAGCGGAGGAGACAAATTGTTGAATAAAGTCGTTGTTTTTATTTTCTTTGCGCACAAAAAGTATGTTCACAGCTTCGTAAAATTACGGTTGAACCACTGATGTCACATGGAGTTTTGTGGATTATTTTACCAATGTACTTACTACGTTTCTGGACCTTGATCATGGTAATTAAATTGCTGTCTATGGGAGCTTCAGAGAGCTCTCGGAATTCATCAAAAATATCTTAATTTGTGTTCCGAAGATGAACGGAGGTCTTAAGGGTTTGGAACGACATGAGGGTGAGTAATTAATGACAGAATTTTCATTTTTGGGTGAACTAACCCTTTAATTTAATGAAAATAAAAAAAGAACTTTACAGATTTACAATGTTAAGTCTTTTGCAGTCTGTGAACGAGATGGGTTGGAAATCTGAGGTTATTTGAAATACCAAAATCACTACTTTTTCACCTTTACCAACATCAGTACATATGTATTATTGTGCACATACTGTTTCAAATTTGTAGATCGTGAAGAGTCTATATTTGGCCTGTTTGACTATAGTGGCTATGATTGTAGTAACTTTTGCATGAATAAAGGGATCAGCTCTGCACCTGGACTTCTGTGCACAGCTGTGAGCAGCACTGATAAAACTCAGTATGACTTGCTCACTGGTCTGTTCACTTCATTTATTTATTTCCCTTTTGATCTTCATGTTATTATTCAGGTTGTGTCAGTTTTATAATAATGCTTATTGGACTGGTCAAGATTATCCAGTTAGATTCACAGTTAGAGGTAAATCCGTGACGCCTTGTGATTTCCAGTTCAAAAGGTGAGGGTGTTGAAGATGTCAGATGTCTAAACTGATTTTGGTTTTGGGTCATTACAGCACACTTTTTAACAAATGAATGGATGGCATGAAAAGCAAACATTTGACTGAACAATTTAAGGCACAAAACAACATATTGTGTGTGCTCTGAACCAGCAAATTGGATTCTTTCAAGGTGTAAATGTATTACACAACAATACTTCGTAATAAGAAAATGTGGTCATTGGTTCTACATTTACTGTTCGATTCAGTGGATATAAAAGGAAAATATATTTCACTTTCAATTTAATTCAGCCTTGATTTGTTTGTTTTGTGCAACCAAAATGTTTTCAAGGGAAACATCAGTGCTTTATTAGCAAAAGAAGAATGTGTGCTTTTCTCCTGTTATGTTTTTCTCCTTCACACTTGTACATCTTATTTACTAAGTGGACCATGTAAAATTTCTCTCTCTATATTTAGTGTCATATTATGTGCTGTAGTATATAAAGACTTATTTTCCTTTCTCTCGAGACAAGTGCATAATGAAGAAATAAATTTCATTTGTGAAGGTCCCTGTTATCTGTGTTCTGTTATATCCCTGTTATATGTAAGTGTCCACTTGACATATGTGATTTAAAGTGATACCTTTGGAAAATATATTCAGGGATGTGTATGGCTTTTTATATACTACAAGTCCTTTTGCATCTGTGATGTTTAGAATATGGACAACATGTTTACATGTAAACAGAATTCAATATCCAAGCTGATCATAATTCAAACTGTTTCATAATTAGACATTCATTCATAGACATTCATTCTGAAACTTCAAGTTTTCTTAATTCTTTCATATACATGTGGATTACTTGTGGATTTTTGTGATGTTTTTATCAGCTGTTTGGACTCTCATTCTGACGGCACCCATTCACTGCAAAGGATCCATTGGTGAGAAAGTGATACAATGCTAAATTTATTCAAATCTGTTCTGATGAAGAAACAAACTCATGTACATTTTGGATGGTCTGAGGATGAGTACATTTTTGACAGTTTTTTTTTTCAGGGATAGTTCACGCAAAAATGAAAATTCTGTCTTTAATTACTCACCCTCATGTCGTTGCAAACCCGCAAGACCTTCGTTCATCTTCGGAACACAAATTAAGATATTTTTGATGAAATCCGAGAGCTTTCTGACGCTGCATAGACAGCAACACAACTGAAATGTTCAAGGCCCAAAAAGGTAGTAAGGACATTGTTAAAATGGTCCATGTGATATCAGTGGTTGAACTGTAATGTTATGAAGCTACGAGAACACTTTTTGTGCTCAAAGAAAATAAAAATAATGACTTTATTAAACTATTCTTCTCTTCCGTATCAGAATTTGACGTGTTCACAACAGAACCACGACGCATGCATTCTGATGTAGAACCCGGATGTGCTGCGGCTTGTTTATATAGAGAGGAATGCACACACACACACACACACATATATATACAGTATATATATATATACTGTATATATATATATACATATCTATGCACATGCATGCGTCGTGGTACTCTTGTGAACGTGTGTCGAATTTTGACACAGAAAAGAAGAAATCATTGAATAAAGTTGTTGTTTTTGTTTTCTTTGAGCACAAAAAGTATTCTCGTAGCATCATAACAATACGGTTGAATGTCACATGGATTATTTTAACAATGTCCTTACTACCTTTCTGGGCCTTGAACTTTTTAGTTGTGTTGCTGTCTATGCAGAGTCAGAAAGCGCCCTGATTTGATTAAAAATATCTTAATTTGTGCTCTGAAGATGAATGAAGGACTTACAGGTTTGGGAAGACATGAGGGTGAGTAATTCATGACAGAATTTTTATTTTTGGGTGAACTAACCCTTTAACTAAAGACAAATCTCCAGGAAAAACACTGTTCACTTTGAAAAATAAAAGACCATTTGCAAATATCACACTTGTTTTAACATATCCACAGCACAGGGCATCAGTTCTCAATCACATTTTATACATATTTTTTCCTGTTATTAAAATTTCTGTTATTTCTGTGACTTGCTTCCATTAGAAAAACACTGCAAGTATTTCTGGAAGCTGCCAGATTTAGGCTAGCAGTGTTTGTAATGCTTTGTTTGTTGGTGCATGTAAAGTTTTTGTGTTCCTTATTTTCCCTGGATGTCACGTTTGCCTCTATATTTAAATGTATCACCACATGTATCATAAGACCTTGCATGAGCATACCAGGATGTCACACAGACTTCTGTTTCTATCTTGGTCCTTCTCTCCCCTTTTATTTTCACTGTTGTCAGTGGAAATGTGAAGTCATATGCTGAAAATATACGTGCTTGTTATATGTGAAGTTTTAAGGGCGTTTTTTTTCCTATGAGTGGGTTTTACAATCTTTTGCTATGCCAGGATTTACCAGGTGGCCCAAAGGCGAGCCAGACACAGAACATAGACCCATTCTGAGCCAGAACTGTCTATCATGTTATTCTCTCAGCTCCTCAACACATCAAGCTGCCCAAGTGAGAACTCGGAAGTGAGAGAGGAAGACTGCCAAAACTCAGACTGGCTTCATATTAGTATTCCTGTTCTGCTGGCCTCATTTAGCCACTGTTTGTGACAGCACAAACAATAAACAATGTGGCCCATAAAAAAAACACTTCCATTGCAGCCAAAATACTGAAGTGTGCAAGGGTGGGGCAGTGTTTGTTAGACTGATGTTGGAGCACTGATAAAAGCTTTATATTCCCAATGTTAAATGCAAACATGATTTTTGTTAAAGCATAAAAACATATTCCTTTTTACTGTCCCGAGTTGGTCTCACCAGCTTGATCAAGAAAGAGGATGGTATATATATAATGTAAGAGATCATCCAATAATTTTGTGGAGGTTCCATGTGGATTTTCCATGTGCTAACTGAGATCGTTTTTAGATCATATTACAACTAAACTTTTAACAATAGCTAATGACTTTTATATTTAATTGTCTCCTGTTATGTAAAAAACAATCAATCAGTAATTGTACTAATTGTCTTACTTTACCTGCTGTCCCAGTTTGGCTTATATGATGATTCATTTTATTAATAAAATAAAAAATATAAAACATGACATTTTATTCACTTACTTGTTAGTGTATTTACATTTTATTTTATCTCGATATTTAAAAGACATTCAGTAGTGAATTTAAAGAGGAGACGGTCAAGGTGAACGAGTTTGATGAGGAATACCTGCGTGAGTTGGAGAAAGACCTGACGGAAGAAGAAAAAGAGGTGAGTGTTATTATCCAATTATTATTTTGTCATGTCCTTCAAAATCTACAGTTCTGACTGTACTATATTTCACACCATTGATATTCTCACTTTTTTTTTGGAATGTCTTTTTTTAATGTGTTTTGTATCTAGAGAATGTGCACGACTCACAACACACTATTTTTATGTTCTGTCTCTGATTTATATCTTAATTTTCTTTTCCTGTGGAAATGATTTTGAACATTTGAACTGCCATGACACAAAGGTTTGGAGACAATGTGTATTGTCTTGTCTTCCACAGCCATAGAACTAAATCCAAATTATGTCCGTGCCATTCTGCGGAGAGCAGAACTCTACGAGAAGACAGACAAGCTTGATGAAGCTCTAGAGGACTATAAAAGTGTCTTAGAGAAAGACCCGGGCATCCCTGCAGCTAGAGAGGCCTGTATGGTGAGTGTTTCTACATCAGCATTTCGACTCAAAGGCCTCCACTGTCCATAACAACACTGCTAGTTACTGTAAAGTAAATATTAGGGTTCCCATTCTTTTTACATCACTTTCCAATTATTAATGATTTATCAGTTAAGGATTATTAAAAATATCAGATAAATTATTTTATAACTTGGCATAACTAGTAGTAAACATTAGGGCTGTCAAAATGTATGTATAGTTTACTACAAAGGACCGAAAACCAATCATAAAGAGCACTTTTTTCATTTAAAAACATGGGATGCAGAAAAACCGCCATAAAGTCTCGAGACATGCTTTTTAAAAGTTGAACTTACATTAATTTTACATGACTTCCTAAACATGCGGCTCTCTTGTGCGAGACGAATATATATTCGTAAACATACATTCTTCATAAAAATGACTGGACTGTTTTGTCTTATTTTAATTCATTTTAAGTTGGCTTGAGGCCCACTTGGAAGTCTGCTGAGGCCCCCTGCTTGAGAGCCACTGCTCTACATGATTATCATTAAAGCGATAATTAACGATTCTGTCATTAATTACTCACCCTCATGTCGTTCCAAACCCGCAAGACCTTCATTCATCTTCGGAACACAAATTAGGATATTTTTGATGAAATCCAAGAGCTTTCTGACCCTGCATAGACAGCAATGCAACTACCATGTTCAAGGCCCAGAAAGGTTCAAGCCCATTCAAGCTTGAATACATCTATAATCTAATGCATGTGTTGCATTGTCATTTCATCATATTTCATGATCTCAAATCAACAGCCTCAGATATGGTGTTTTGTGCACAATGAATGAATGAAAACGTATACCGGTTTGAAGCAACATAAGAATGGGCAATTGAAACTTGAAAAATAAAAATTTTATTTTCTCTTTGGAGTGTTACAAGCTCTTGGTGCATAAAGAAGATCTGTAAAGTTGCAAAGACTAAAGTCTCAAATCCAAAGAGATATTCTTTATAAAAGTTAAGAGTCAACCACGCCTAACTAAAACGGCTCGTTCTAACACGCCCCCACATGTCTACGTCACGATGTGGGAAGATTTGCATAACGCCGCCCAAATGTTCACGCAAAGAAAGAAGGCGTAACTTTTATTCTCACTGTAGTATTGTTGTTGCCGCCGCCATGTCGTGAAGGCGCTGTGTGTTTTGTTGTGAAAGCGAAACTACTTTGTTTGGCCTTCCAAAAGAGGACGATATCTGCTTCGTCATGTCTAGAGCTGATCCGTGCTGGTCGCTGAGGAAATGCATCAACTTCGCGCTGTGGATCGCCAGATCGGCTTTCACCGTGGACGAAGCGGAGTCCAGCCCAGGGTCGTCACATGTGGTTGCCGCAAGTCTCCTTTGTCGAATCCGCCGGCCGCGCCATTCTCAAGCCCACCGCCGCTCACTCAAGCCGGCCTCCCTCACTCCACTGCAGTTCCTGGAGCGACTGATGGTTGGCAAAATATTTCTTATTTTTCATTCACTCACATTTATTATTGTTATTGTTATTAATAATAAATGTATCTAATTTTTAATTCTTATGTCTTATCATTTTATTGGGTCAAAAAGCAGAATGATAATAAATAAAAATAACATTAATAATAAAAGTGATAGAATAATAATTAATGATATATTTGTAAACTTAATCCTAATGTCTAAGGATTATTTTATTACTATGTCAAAAAGCAGAAATAATTCAAAACAACAATGGTTTATATATCAGTTGTCAGACAATGAAGCATATTTAATACGTTGGTATTAATATTGATCATAAAGATCATCTGATCTCTAATAAAATAGAAAATGCACATCTGTTTGTTCCTCGAGTAGACATTTAAAGCAATAACTAAGTAGTGTAGCATTGATTTGTGCAGTTTTCCATTACTGGTTAAATGTTGCTGCACTTTCTCAGAGCACATGCTGGTTTCAAGGTATTATTGATAAATGTTGCAGCCACTGTAAGTTTCCTCTAAGGATCAGATTTCCAGTTTGAGGTAAAGACTGTTGCTGTCAGGCTGAATTTCCTGCAGTTCACAGTGAGGGTGTGGCTGCTCAACACTTCATATTGATCTGACTGCAGTCCAGTCACAGAGACAAAGCTCTCCACAATCGCTTTACACCTTTAGACTCTTCAACCTATTTTCGGACCAAAATTGAGTGTTGCATTTAAAGCCTAGCCTATGAAACATGTTAATGAAAAGTATTTGCACACTTTATTATAAGGCTTAAATTGATTGCAGCTCTAATAACATGTTCATTATTGATGTACAGCATCATGTCATACTTTACATTTAAATTTTATTTATAGGGGTCCTATTATGCTCTTTCACAAAGTCTTGATTTTGTTTTGGAGGTGTACCAGAACAGGCTCTCATACTAGGTTGTTTTTCACATATTTTACATTATGACAACACCTCTCTCCCCAATCTGGCTCGAATAGTTCCTGTATCAAATGTGCTGTGATTGGTTAGCTGGGCCAGTGTGTGTTGTGATTGGCTCCACTCGGCGCCTGGTCGGGAAATGTCACGCCCCCTTACCATAGCCGCCTGCAAGCTTCAGTGTAAATATTGCATCAAAATCAAATCAATTTGAGCGCGATTTCAACCCGGATGATTGTAACCACTCTTAAGATCGTCTGTCTTGGGAAAGCTAGCGTGTCTCCGACATAGTGATAACACTCGTTGTCTTCTCTAGTGCAGCTCAACCAGGTCTCATCCCATTCGTCGATATTTGTGATATCACAAATCCCGGAAAATATGCAGTGTAGTCCAAACGAGTCGTTCGTGGTAGTTTTTGAATATTGATTTCTGTTAAATAAAATATCTCCTTTTGAAGTGGACAGCAACATTACAGACTAACTAAAGTTGAAAAAGTGAAAAAGCATAATAGGACCCCTTTAATATATTTTAATGTAGGAGGGATAAACATTTAGACCAGTTTTTAGCTGTTAATATTGTCATTTTGTTTAAAGCATATTTTCATTTTATTCATAGAAACCCACTACTTTAAGACTTAACTTAAAACGTTTATTCAGCAAGAATTCATTAAATCGATCAAAATGGACATAAAAGACATTCTTACAAAAGATGACTTTCAACATGTTTTTTCTTAAAAAAACAAATCAGCAAATTAGACTTTTGAAGGATCATGTGACACTGAAGACTGCTGAAAGTTCAGCTTTGCTATCACAGGAATAAATTAAAATTTTAAATATATAATAGAAATGTAAATATATTTTACAGTATTTCTGTTTTTACTGATCAGATAAACGCAGTCTTGGTCAGCAGTTTTTTTTAACTACCTGTTAAAGACTACTTCTGTATTCATAGCTTTCTGTTGTTGGCAGATAATTTATTTGCCTTCTCTTGTTCTTCTCAGGTAAGCTGAAGGACTTGGGCAACATGATTTTACGACCCTTTGGTCTCTCCACCTCCAACTTCCAGGTCAACCAAGACGCCAACACAGGATCCTACTCCATCAACTTTGTTCAGAATCCCAATAACAACAACAGATAGCTTTTCAGTGTGTTTTTATGGAGTGGCACAACAGTGAACTGCCCCTTTCAAGTGTCCGCTCAGTCTCTGACTATTCAATCATATCCCCAGTCTGCACTAATTCATTGATACAAGTAATGTAAAGCTGTTTTTCCATTGACAAATTAAATTATCAGCTTGTGTCAAGTGGTTTTTAGATTTAGTTTTTTGGCTTGCCAGAATGTTAAATTTGCTGTGAAGCTGGCGTCAGTGATCCAGACTGTCAGTCATGAGCAACGAGATAATGGGCCTTCAGCACTTCACCCTTACCTGCGTTCACATTAAACCAGCGGATAAGATCCTGTCTGCATTGTCCATTGTGTCGTTTCTTGTATGTAATTAATACAGCATGATTTATTACTAAAGAATACACAGAACACACAGCTTGGTACAAGGCAGAAAACCGGTTTAATTTCATAGAGCTATACATTTAATACAATAATAAAACAAATGTATGCCCACGACCACCATCTTCATATGTATAGCCGGTAGAATGCTCCGATTGTACTGAAACGCACGTATGTACAACAGCGAGCAGCTGTTTCTCGCTCACTCTAAATTCCCTTTTTACAGGCCTCAGGTTGAACATGTGCAATGAATGATGCTAACAGGAAAACCTTGAAGCAAAGACTGATAGAAAAGATGCGTTCTTACGGTCTTGTTTAACTTGTATAATAAGAAAATCATTTATAAGTGGAGAGGAGCACAAAAAAGGTCAAAATCAACTAGCGGGTCAAAGTGATTTGTAACGCTGTACAGATTGCATTGATCATTGAACGTGTGGTGTGCCACAGAGTGGAAAACTTCAAGCTCTCTTCAAGAACAGTCAAGACTGTATTAAGGCTCAGAATTTCTCAATATAAAGGAGCACAGATGTTGGGATAGAGGACTAGAAGCACAATAAGACCCAATCCTCTGTAATTGTACGGTGAAGCATAGCACATGCAATATGTATTGCATTTTTACATCAAATATGATTTAATTTAATAAGTTATCTCTTTCAAACACTTAAAACCCTGCTTTAACGTGTGCTGGATCGCCACCTACAATCCACAATGGCCATAACTCCCCTGTGCTGTTCAGTATTTGCAAGTGTCCTTTCACATAGTTTGAACAAAAGCCTGCTTAAAGAAAAATGGTTTGAAAAATTCATTTCAGCATGACGGATCGGGAAATAGGTGGAGAGTCTGTAATTCATTGTAATAAATATATAATTATTTTCTTAAATAAAAATAATTTCTCCATTACACCTGCTTCTCCAAATGTGGATGGCTCCTCTCATCTGATTGGCTCTTGACCAATGACTGTGCTTTGGGCAACGGACCAATCAGCAGCCCTTCAGAGTTGCAGCACTGGAGAAGGGGGAAAAAACAACAACAGACGGTCAGAATTGATCTCAAACAGGATTATTAAATTATAAATATTAAAAAGAAAACTATACACTTTGAGATGTAAGATTCTAAGATCTTTTTAAAAAAAAAGAAATTATCCAGTGTAACCTATATTTTGGAATCATCCACTGGCTAATAGACATTAACTTTTCGGAAATTGCTTCATTTCAGTCATCTAATGTTTAAAGAACAGAGAAAATCAGCTTCTTCTAACTGTGTTGGTACAGTGGGCCATTACACTTAAAATAACTCCGAGAATAATAACACTGAAGTTCAGGCTTCGACTTGGCTGAGTAACAGGAACATTTTCGCCATAATCAGACATTTAAAAAGCAGTCTAAGATGCAAACATATGACAACGGCAGGAGGGAGCAAAACAAGTGGAGGAAAAGAAAAAGAAGCTTTGAACAGGGCAAGTAGATTAGGGAGGAATGAGCTTGGGAAGCAGATGTTGTAGCTGCGAGGGGTGGGGAAAGAGGACACACAGATAGGCTGGCAGGTTTCTCCATGTCTGAGGTGATACTCTCTGCGTTTACAGAGTCGCTGTGTTCTCCCCACAGTGGCACTTGAGGTGACTTCGGCTTACAGGCACCTCCCCCCGTAACAGCAGCGCGACTGGCTGCAAAGCCAAGGCTGGCCAAGAGCCATGCCCAGATCAACAGCCGTCTGCTCAGATCACTGCACTTGGATTAGTCGTCTCAGAACGTCCGAGAAAGATCAGCACCAATTAAGTCCCTTTTTCTACCTGAGCGAGGCACTACCCAGCAAGGTCAACTTTGTTACACAACTTCCATGATAAAAGAAAACAATTCAAGGATGGCCTAAGTGAAATCCAAGACTTGGGTTAACGTAAGGGAGGCTGGACACATAAGGACGTCTAGAAACACTGTAGTGATAGAAAATGCAGCAGGAATCTGAACCTAAAACACTTTCTCTGATCATCCAAAAGGAAGCATTAACTGTGCTAAATTAGGGATCCAGAATAAGTAGCAGCCGACCGGCCACAGTTTAGTTGGTTTGAGAATGGGTTCAAGCAGACATTTTCACACATGCCTAATTCTTCCGGCGAAAGCTAATCAAGCTAAAAAAAAACACTCTTTTCATGTTTACAGGGACATTTGACAGCAGACATTGACCAAGAACAACTTCAAGGCAAACAAATATCATTACCACTCAAAAACCCATAAAACCTTTTCCTAGAAATATCCATCATCTGTTTTCATTATAATAAATGTATGATGATATGACAAGATCATAAGACTGGTTACGTAGGGGAGAACACTAGATACTTGACATGAGAACCGTTTGCTTTCATTTACTCAATTCAATTCCCTTCTCTTGCTTTCGCAACGAAAATAAATTAGTCCTGGTTGCCTTTTCTGGATTACACTCTGGAAGCTGACTGGGTACAGCAAAGTTTGAGAGGTGTCAGAAGGGGTACAGGGCCAACTCGAGTGCCTGTTTTGCCTACCTTACCAAGAAGACACACCACCTCACGTCTCAAACTGAGTTAACAAGGCTCGGACCTCGGGTGTGAGCTGCTTGGCAGCCTTGGCGGCCTCAGTGATGGCTTTACGATACAGGCCTTTTCTCTTCTTGTCAAAGCGAGACTGGAAGTTTTCTAGAAATGGGGCAAGTTGAGTAATGGCCAGGAAGGAAGTGGTGGGTGACCCAAACCAAGAGACCCGAGCCTCCTGCCTGACTAAGAGCCCATTATCTTTGCGACTCACTGTGATGGCTAGGATGCGGGCGGGCCACCAAGGGAAGCCAAGGATTTTGGCCCAAACTATTTCCCCTACACAAATTGTCCTGCCATCCAAGGCAACGCACTTCGTGACGTTTTTGGAAAAGACAGCAGCTTTGAGGGATTTACTGAAATTTTTGTCATCCTTAGGAGCAGAGGGAGATGCAGAAGCAAAAGCGGAGGATGTGCCAGGGGCAGGGGCCGAACGCAAATCACCAGGAGGGGGGAAGTCAAACGTTTCGGTAGAGCTACACTCAGAGTTTGATGACTTTAAGTCATCTGCACTATCGATGCTGCACATGGAGGTACTAGAGGAGTCGGGATGGTTGGGGTTAAGGGTCATGTAGACCACTAGGTTACCAGCCTTGCTCCCACGCGTCTCCCGCTTTTCCTCCCGCCCCTCCTGTTCCTCTGGCTCAGCTCGGGGTTCCCTGTATTCCGGGGCTGGGAGGGGCTCGGGTTGGGCCTGGCTGAGCAGGGACTCGATTGCTTTTTCTGGCCTGTGGGGCTCTACAGCTGTGGCGACTTGGCTTTCAGAGCAGGAGGAGGAGGAGGAGCGTGTGGAGGTGCAGCAGGGCAGGGCTGGTTTAGGCAGCGGTAAACGGCCCCCTCCCGGCACTTTCTCCAAGCAAGGCAGCTTACATGAGGAAGAATCGTTCTCTTCGTTACGGTACCTTTGGGGCTTGATGCGCATCCTGGGTGGCAGGGGGTTGGAACCTGGCCCTCCTCCACTGATCTGCTGCAGTCGCCTGGTGAAGTGGACCTTTTGGTGGGCTTCCTGGAGGGCAGCAGCCCTGGTTATAGCCTTGGTCTTCCCGCTACTGCCTGTGACTGTCTCTCTATGTCTTCTTTGAGCCTTGGCCATCTTCAGCACCTCTCGTGCTTTGGAGTGGTCGACATTTTTACTCTGAAGCACTTTTTTGGCATTGAGCTGCACTCGAGAGTTGGCCGAGGACGTGGTTGTAGTAGACACCCCCTTCACCATTTTGTTCCCTACAGCTGCACCTTTGACCTGACTATGGCCCAGAGAAGAGGCGGTGGCCGACGACACCCGTACAGCCGAACCCTGCCGTTTGGGCCCATCAATACCACGGCCCTTCTCGTCAGAACGTGGATCACTACGGGACCGCTTACCAGCAGCTGCCGCTGCGCTGTCATTACGCCGTCTTTTGGCATCGTCACTTCGGCAGTCTGAAATGGGGCCTCTGCGTGTTTCACGCTTGTCCCCTTGCACTACAGCCCCTTTACATTTATCACACAGAACTTGTCTTGGTCGGAGCTTGATGGCATTCATTATAGAAGTGGGCTCCTCTCTATACAGCCTACGCTTGGGCCGCTTGATTTTGCGTGGTAGAGGCTGAGGTAACGTCTGGTTGTAGGTGTCGCTGATGAACAGTGGAGGTGGATAAGGGGCCCCCTCCTGAAACAAAGGAGGTGGTTTTGAGGTCCATGGGTTGGGTTGAGGGTTGGGACAGGGCTGGGGCACTGCATGAGTCTCAGCAGGGTCCTTCAGAGAGGCATCCGGAGCATCCGTAGGGTCCTTAATGGGGGCATCACTAGGTCCTTGAGTGACATCCTTATCTGTCTCTGACTGGAATGCTTCCGTCTTTAGCTGCATAGATTCTGGTTTGTCCTTATACTCTCTTTTGGGGAACACGGTTATAGGAATCCCATAAGGTCCAAACCTGAGGTACAGAAGAAGAGAAACGACAAAGACACTAAAATTAAACTCAATGTGGATGGGGTCTAATCTGCTTTCTCAAATCTAAAAAAAAAAATTCAAGCATGCACTACTATATTACAGCTACTCATATGCAATAAAAAAAAATCAAGCACATATATGATTGTTCTATCATACAACTGAAGAATTACGGTGAAGTCTTAAAGCACGAATTATTTTGCATCAGTCACATTATTGCTCTGCTTTTATTTAAAGGTAATTTCATCTGGTCATGTTTGCATTCAGGAGATAGGAAAGTGATTAACTGACAAAGCAGGGGTACAGATTATTTAGCAACAATAATACAGTTCCATACAACATGATCGGATAAAATGCCACTTCAGCTGACTGAAATACATGATAGGATAAAATGCCTCCAACTGTGGTGGCTTTCGTTTTCAAAATTACAGTATTCTTTCCTAGTGTAGTAAATTTTATTACATTATAATAGTATATATACACCTCTACAAAAGGAGGAAGAACAGGCAAGTCTAACAAATGAACTGAAACCATTTTTTGTCTGAAAGCTGATCTTGTTTGGCCCAAAACATGATATTATAAGTAAAGCGCAATGAAGCAACATTGCTAACAAAACGTTATACTAAAACGTTCTTGGATGTCAAAAACAGACACTTGGGCTTGAAAGAACCATTATCTGTGGCAATCACCCTGTTCACAGTTTTCACTGTATATCCAATGTGGGTCAAGAAGAACTTACTCCACAATCATTTATATTCTGCAGAGTAAAGTACCAACCACCATACAGCTTATTTCAGAAGTGAATTGACACCTTTGCACACACGGTCCAGCTTTAGCTTTAATAGGCACACAAAAAAAAAAGCATGTTCTATCTAATACACTGATACTTATTTGTGTCAAAATCAGATTATATATATTTTTAATCTATTTTGCATACCATCCTGTAGAATAATAGTGTAAAAAATGTGCCCTGGAAATACTGCCCCATAAGCTTAGTGTGATCATCAAATCAAATGCTGCCATTTAATTAAATAACGTATAGTCTGATGTGTTGCGTTACAAAGTGAAGTGATTCAGTGAATGGCTCAGCAAACTCTATCTCTGCATTTGCTGTGCGTTTAAAGTACAAATGGGAATGCAACGTGCATTAAGTTTACTTCATTTACACATTCGCATATTTTCAGACATTTTTGTGGACAGAAGTCTAAAGCATTTCACTTACATTCCCCAAAAATAAAAGATTGAGATTTTGGCATTTGAAAGTGGGACATTAGATGCTTTTAACCAATTATAGAACGAAGAGCCATCTATCCATCCATCACCACGTCCATCTTGTGTCACCACCTAAAAACATCAGCAATTACACATTGAAACATGAAACATTAGCTGAGGTAGTGACACTTTCTCAATTAAGAACATATTTTTGCTTCTGTTTGAGATTCAGAGCTGTAATGCATTTCATCATTAACATGTTAAACTCTAAACACCAATGCTGTGGGCCTTATGCCCGGTTCAGACTACACGATTTTAGCCCGATTTTGCCACGATTTGCTTGACGTAAGGTGTCGTGGGGATTCGTAAACGACAATGGGCGTCGGGACGCAAGATTCCATCGTGAATGGTCGGTGAAGCAACGTGTAGTCTGACATGTTTCTTGTCCACGACACGACAAGATTTTAGGAGTCAAAATCATGTAATATGACACAGTGACTATCGTGACCGACAAAAATATTGTGTAGTCTGAACCAGGCATTAAAGGAAACTAAGGACTTAAGTTAAACTTAAGTGGCAGCATCTGTGACATGCTGTGAAGTACAAAACATGATTTCAACTCATCCCACAGTTTATATTAAAAAGAAAAAGAAAAACCAGAGGCTTTTTAACCTATAATAATTATTTAAAATATTAGTCTGCAATCTATGTCAGGGTTTCCCAAACGGGGGATTGCGAACAACTAGCGGGTTTGTGAGGGAACTACAGGGGGTTCCTGAGTTGAGCTAATAATTAATTACATTAAATGTAAAATGAAAGTATAGAGCTTCACGATCGTCGCAATACAGCTTAGTGTGATCATCAAATCAAATGCTGCCATTTAATTAAATAATGTATAGTCTGATGTGTTGCGTTACAAAGTGAAGTGATTCAGTGAATGGCTCAGCAAACTCTATCTCTGCATTTGCTGTGCGTTTAAAGTACAAATGGGAATGCAACGTGCATTAGGTTTACTTCATTTACACATTCGCATATTTTCAGACATTTTTGTGGACAGAAGTCTAAAGCATTTCACTTACATTCCCCAAAAATAAAAGATTGAGATTGAGGTTTTGGCATTTGAAAGTTAATTTAAACATATATATTATATTGTAACTTGTGGTGTAAAATAAAGTTATAATTACTTGAATTACTAATAAAGATTCATTTTTATTTTACATTACAATTGTAATTCACAGAAGTAATCTTTCTTTAAAAAATTTTGAATTCAAAAAAGTTAAAAATATATTTTTTTTTATTATGCTTGATTGGGTTCTTAAAACACTAATGTGAATATAATGAGGACTTAGACACTATCACAACTAAAAAGAAAGTTTAAATAAGTTTATCTATTTACTTGCATGTCATGTGACCATCACGGACCTCACCTCAGAAAACTGAAAACATGCAAATTTGTCATTGAATTATTGAAATATTAACTTGAAATCTCAGAGCATTTTTCCAAGTAAACATTTATCGCTTAAGGGGTTTGGCTGATTAAAACGTTTGACAATCCCTGGTCTGTGTCATTGGTGCCAGGCTAAAGATGATAGGCATCTTTGGAATATGACCACAGCATCATTTCAATCCTGGAATGACTGATTACTTTTGATTTTATGGTTTATCAGCATTGAGACATTTCTCTAAAAGTGTCCAGGTGATAATTTCCAGGTGATGTACGGTAATCACTTCCTAACAATGATGCCACACAGGTTCTTCAGGACACATTCCCTACACAGCAACTTCACAAGAATGTTTTATGTTGACTTATCTCAAGTGAGAATTGAATTGAGACTGGAGATCCCACTATAAATTGGGTTCTGCTATGATTCATCCCTGACAGCCAGAGAAAATGTGTGAACGAGGGTGTTGAGACAGACAAACTGTGGGAACAATTTGTAGGGTGTTAAAGGGGTCATATGATGCGATTTCAAGTTTTCCTTTCTCTTTGTAGTGTTACAAGCTCGCGATTATGGTGAGGGGCATTACATTTCCGACGAGTGCTTGTGGTGTTCGGCCAATCACAATGCACTGGGTCAGCTGGCCAATCAGAGCAGACTGCGCTTGTCGGAAGGAGGGACTTTGTAGAAAACGAAGCGTTTGAGAGAGGCGGAGCATAGAGGACCTACAATAATGTACAGTATTTGAAAAATAATGTGTTTTTTGAACATTAAAGCATGTCAACATATTCTGTTACACCAAATATACAAAATAATGATCTTTAAAAAAGCATATGACCCCTTTAATCACCAGCACAACACTGTTTTCCAGGTTATGATCAGGAATACCTAGTTACAAGTAGTTATATGGGTGACATGAAAATTTAAGTAGTGACAGCAGTGTCCTGTAATGACAGACTTCAATGTTTTTGTTTATTCTTGTGTAATGTCATTTTTATGACCTGGATTACTTTGCAAATTGAATCTGTTTAATGTCACTATTTACACAGTTTATTAAAATGTCATTAAACATTTTTTTTTAAAGATGGTGGCCCGTCACACACCAACCAAAATAAGTATTTTCCATAATACAATATATTATAATACAATACAGCATTTATATACATAATTAATTTAGGAAAATTAAACAATAAATATTGAGTAAAACAATAAAATAGAACAGACAAAAACAGTCACATTAATGGCTTAATTTTTATAAAGAATAAAGCTATAATCTAAACTATAGTGACAGCTTATACCATGAACTAAAATATTATTTCTAAACCAATATGTAATGGTGAAGATGCTGTTTAGCTTTCTGACAGCCACGAAAGCCAACTTTGGGAAGTATGCTGGATGTACAGCTGCAATTTCTTTGCACAAGTACCGTGTTTACCTTTTCGAAAGGTCCATGAGTACCCCAGAGAAGATCTTCTCGCCCAAGCGAAACGACACCACGAGCGCATCGTCGATGATGTGATCCAGCGTGACTCGAACCTCGGAGCCGAGCATCAGGCGCTCAACGGCGCCGGGCTCCGCCGGACACAGAACCGGGTCTTTCGTCTCCGCCGACACCCTGTCGGGCTCGCTGAGATCCGTTTTGAAGCTCTGCTGATGAAGAGGATGCGAGCTCACATCCTCCGCCTCTGCTGCTGACATGAGCGACTGATCCAACTCCGCTGGAAGTTCGGGAGAGTCCTTACTGGAAACAGTAGACAAGTCACTCATGCAGCTCTGACCCACCGATTCTCCCAGCGAGGTCTCCTCCGCAGCGGACAGGGAGTCCAGGTGATCTGAGGGGTGCGGGATGTCATGGAAAGCATCCTCGTGAGTTTTGAGTTCCGACCCGGGAGCATCGGATGCGGGTTCGGGATCTGGCTGCGTAAAGCCTATGAGTTCACACTCCAGATCGGTAGGACGGCTTAACAGGGGATTGGAGTCATATTCGACAGCCAGAGACAGTCCAGTTTCAGGCTCCGACGGAACCTGAGCGGGAAGGGAATGCAAGAAGACCACAGAGGGCTGGGAGTCTGAGATGGAGCTGGGGAGCAGAAGACAGGGGCTGGATTCGAGAGCACTGACCTCGTTTGCAGCCTCCACCTTCGGCGAGAAGGATTCCTTGTAATCTGTGCACCTGTAGTTCACAAGCACGGGCTGCTCGGCTGTGCTCAGACGGCTCCAGGACCCACCCGTGTCGGTGTGCTCTCCGTCCGCATGGGCAGCGAGGGCTTTTCCCGCGGCTTGAAGGTCCGGCCTTCTGATTTCCATTTGGACCTGGCTGCATTCCTGAACTGCATCCATATCCTCGGGTCGATGACAAAGCTCCATTTCCGGGACGGAGTGGGCCTCTAGGTCGACCACATGCTCTCCTGGCTCGGGTTCGTAGTCC